CAACTCCCAGAATTCCCCAGCTAGCCATGGCTAGCGTGGGAATTCTGGGAGTTGAAGTCCACACATCTTAAAGTTCCCATGGTTGAGAAACACTGCATTGGAGCGTCCGTTATTTTCTTTCCAACAGCCTTCCTATGGGCTGGCAGAGACAGGGGTCCTCACAGGTAACTGAGAAGTTTGCTGCTTGCCGTTTACATGACAGCGTCTTGAATCTTTATCATTATGGGAACTAATTCTTACACTCACCTTGCTGCGAAGCCCGATAAGTGCCCATTGGTCGCTGCCCCATGAGGCTGTTTCCTTGATTGCTCTGGCTCATCATGGCAATGGAAGACTGCCCTTGGTAATGTTGTGTTCCTGCTTGTGGGGAATTGTAATGTGATGTTGCTGCTTGCTGGTGAATCATGGAAACTGCAACACAAAAAACATAGGTTGGGTTCCCATGACATGCTTAACTTGGCTGCTGAATTAACCCAGTCTTTGAGTTTGCACAAAATCCCAAACCATGAATTAATACCATTAATTAACCAAAACAGCCTGGGTTCACCCAACATGCTAAGCCCCAGAAAAATGAATCAAGATTAATATTAAGGAAGCCTTAGTAGGTTGTGTGAATGCTCTGCTAGGGCTCTGCCTGACTGGCTATGTCATATGTGAACACAACCATGCATTCTCAAATTATCCTGAAAGCTTGTGTAAAGCCTGCAGTGTCCTTCTCAAATCTGCCACCCCACTGTAATTTTTAATGGGATCGAAGAAAAAATGACTAAGCACACGGGGAAGCAAGCCTATCAATTGTATTTAATTAATTTGAGGTAATGTAAATGAAGTGAAACCAAATTATCTTGATATTACTCTTCCCACCTACTCTTGAGTGTTGGTATCTTTGAAGGCCTGGATTCAGAAGAAGCTGGACCTCCTGGCTCTTTGTGACTGCCCGCCTGAGCCATGAGAAAATAAAAAAACTACATAAAATTGAAGAAGAATAAAGTCCTAATATCTTCCTGCAGGTTTCCCCAGGTTGGTGTCCTCCAGAAATGTTGGACCAAGCTTGCAAAGTTATCATGGAAGGGCACCAGGTTGGGAAAAGCAGCCTTTTGTTAACTAAGTAAATAATTGCATTTTATGCATTTTCAGTCCTCTCATCTCTATTTCTATGCCTTTTCTGTACTACTGAAGTATATATGTAGCTGTAGTAAATAAATAAGCAGTGAAAATCATCAGTATGCAAACTTTGGAGTTCGTCAAGTTTTCTTCAGCAGTCCCACTCCAGTGTTGATTCCCTAATAGAAATGACCTCCCTGGCCCTGATTCTATAGTACAAAGATCAGAAATATGGTACTTGGTGCCTACAGGCTCCAAAATAGCTGTGATACCCCAAAATGGAATCCATACATTTTCAAAATAAAAAAAAATGGTAGTAATTTTAAAATGGCAGAAATGTCGCAAAATTACCATATTTCAGGTGAAAGCGTGGCATGCAGCCTATTGGTGGCGCGGCACAAGGCTGCCAAAGTGAGATCAACCACATCAGATCAATCACTGTTGCAACAGTTATCAATCTCTTAATAATCCAGACAGCTTTTTAAAAATCAGGAAGGCGCTTGAAAGGTGGGGAGTTCCAGTTGCCAATCTCCGCTATAATGAGAGCTTGAAGACCAAGGTAGCTGCTGAGGTTGGATACAAGGGCAAAGGCTAAGCCAACGGTACCTGGGTTGGACTGCATGCTGAGATTTGCTCGTGAGACATAGTTGCCGATCGATCCCTGGCCTTGCATGGCGACGCTCTGAGATGCAGGCACCGTGTGACTATAACTGGGCCCAGATCCATGGCTACTGAGACTCATGCTCAGGGAAGTCGTGGGCATGGTATTCTGGCCGGACTGCTGCATAGACACATGGTTGGGACCTAGGTAGACAGCAAGCAAGAAAAAGATGCTCCAGTCCGCAAAACATACCCTTTGATCAATCACAGTGTCTGCAAAGAAGGGGCTAAAAAAGTCAAGATAGTGTCCACTGCCATGCGATCAAAACCCTGCCTTTTTTTCACATGCCTTGCGTTGCATGTAATTTTACTCAAATGTTTTGCTGAAGAGTGTATGGTATGCAATGATGATCTCTGGCCCTCAATCAATTATAGATCATGATCAGTCATGAAAGATCAGGCTACCAAATGATATTAGACCTTCTGCTTGTTTTCTACCTTTGGTATTACAGGCAGTGTATCTTAAACGTTTCAAACTCAAAGCGCCCACTTTCAGCTTTGAAATAGCTATTCTCATCTTACTAAAAACCTTCTAGGGCTGCCATAGCCTATCCACAAATGTTTCTTAGTTCCAAGCGGCACTATTTTACACTCAGAATACTTCCAAAAGTTGGAGCAATGCTGGAGCAGTCGAGGTAAGGCTGGGAAAATTGGCTTCAAGCTTGAAACGTGTTCCACACATCTACTCAAGCCCATAGGCATCGTTTTTTGAGAGTAAGTGAACAAGAGCAGGAATTACCCTTAAATCAATCTGCATAATGCCAAATGTAGCTTTCCTTTTTTGAATGGAGTTGCTCTTCTGGTGAGTTATAGCTATTGGTCCCCAGGCTGCATTTAGCTGGGAGTTAAGTCCCGTGGGAATTCAGTGAAACTTTCTTCCAAGTTAAGATGCAAGGTAGCATTTATGTGCCCCCCGCTCCCTTAACATCACAACTAACATATAAGAAAATTATGAGTGGAAATGCTCAAAAGTTTCTAGGATAAGGTAGGTGAAGAGGTCCTTATTTTTCAGCACCTACCAGGGATGAGATACCTTTAGGCGTGTGGAGAGTAACTTTGGAATAAATTGTACTGATATTATACAGTAGAGAGAAAGAAAAAGTTTGAGGATTTCTATTTGGGAATAAAGTGCAATAAAAATATTGGCTTTGTTTGCAAATTATCCCAAGCCATGGTTTGTTTAGTCATGGTTTAATTAAGTCGCTCTGACTCTATTGATTAAACTTTCACTGGCTATGTTTTGCAAACCATGCTAAGCCAAAATAATCCATATTATGCCCATATTATGTCCTTGTGTGTTGTGTGAGCGCAGCCATTAATTCATACCTATGAGTAAATACTGTTGTGTTAGTCCTTTGCAGGGAAAACAAAAATCTCATGTCCCTTTCTCTGGATCTGCCCCAATTCTTTGTAACGCAGTCCTTGAGTTGAGGGACCTAACCTCTCAGTTCACTTTTTAAAAGCCCTTAAATGCACATCTCTTAGACAGACTTATAACTATTCATAATCTAAATTCTTTCTTAATGTTCTTAATTGTATGATTTTTAGCTTTTTATTGTAAACGGCAAGCAACTTGGGTAGACATATACCCAAGATATACATGTCTTCTTCCTGCATTTTATTGTTTCTTACTGCTAAATGAACTGCAAACAACATCCAAGCTTTTCCCATGGTTTTCACATGCATTAGGCTCTAAACACCCAACCCCGGTTAGTTTTAAAGCCCACTCCAAGCATCGGTGATGCGGTTGCCAGGCAACCGTGGAACTCTTACCATTGCTAATCTGACTCTGCATGAGAGAGGAAGGGGGAAGCCCTGAGCTGATTGCATCACTGAGGTTGCTCTGTGAATGGAGGGACTGATTGGAGGCACTCTGACTCATTCCAGCCGGGCCGAGGTTCATGTTCTGGGTTGGTGGCTGTGAGATAGGAACAAGAAGACAAGGTGTTTCTTATAGGAGGAGGATTTTTTCTTTCTGGATGGACTGATGCAATTGATAGAGTTGCCCATCTCACCATCGTGACTCTAGATGGCTTACAAAAAAATTAAAACCAACCAAACAAAACACAGTGTAAACAATATACAAATCGTCAACCATCATCATCATCATCATCTATTTTTAGGCTGGAGTTGATAGAAAAAACTGTGGGTACATCCAGGTCTTTAATGACTCACAAAGGCCAACAGGGTCATGGACCACCAGATTGCCGGGGGATGCTGTTTCACCCGGCAGGTGCAGCAACGGAGGAGGCATGACTCATAGGTGCCACTAGATGGCACTGTCTAATAGATGGGGCCCAGAGCATGTCAACTCTGACAGTTCCAGCGGGGCAAGCAGAGACAATTGGAGACAGGTGGCCCTGCAAATAACCTGGTTCTGGGCCATGTAGGGCTTTATAGGTGATCACCAGCACCTTGAATTGTACCCGGGAGCCAGTGCAGATCACAGGTGTTAGGTGGTCATACTGTGAAGTGTCCATAACTGCTCATATCTCTGCATTCTGGACCAGGTGCAGCTTCTGAATGTTCTTCAAGGGCAGTCCCATGTAGCACACACTCTAGTAAACCAGCCAGAGAATGGGTTCAAGGGAATTCCTGACGTTATTTTTATGAAGAAGATGAATTAGTACAAATATTACTTTTGATTCATGAATGACAGGTGTCAAGAATGAATTAACAGAGTTTTGGTAGCAGGGTCATCATTATTACATCTTATGGTAGGCAGACCATAATCACTTTGGGGTTTTCTTTTCTTTTTCTTTTTAAAAAGTAAAAACAGATGTATTTTGAAAACATTGGAGACCAGATTGGGAAGTTAACCAATTGAGTTGGGAGAAATTCTAAAGCCTGTTGAATAATAATAGCTCTGCTATTTTGCAATCTATTTTAATTAGCAGTCAGTTAATTAGGGAAGACTGAAGCAAATAAACCATTTTCCTTTTTATCCATAAATAAAACTAATGCCAGAACACCATAAAACAGCTTTAGAGTGTAGCTATCAGAAGTAATCCAATATTAATTACATAAAAAATAAGTTAGTGTACTAAATAAAAGTCTGAACTTCATCTTCTGGCGCACAGAATTTATTCTGTTTAGAACTAATATTTTCCTATAGCCAAATTCAATACCAGCCAGGCTCTGATTCAGAATAGGCATCTAACATAAGCTTATTTAAAGTAACTGATGTAAAACTCACTTAAAAATGCCAAGGATATTATGATTTTGCTTCAGACACATGCATAAAAGATATCTTGCTATCTTTTATGTTTTACTGACTTTATTGTAATTTCTTTGTTTGATTATTGTGAGTGCCCAGAGCTATTGGGAGTCGGGTGGCACAAAAGTTTAATAAATTATCATTACTATCATTATTATATCTTATCATTCAATTAGGTAGCATCCCAAATATATATTTAAGAAAAGTAGGAGAGAGAACACCCCATTGATTCATTCACCTTAAGTGACTCTTGTCTTCTAGTAAAACTTCTGCATTCTCCACTTCATTCACTAGAACTCTCGTGAAAGTACCAATATTAATATTGACAAGTATCAGCCTGACTTCAGGGATTCCGTCTTTGATTGTTTCTGACTGGTGAGATTGGGCAGAATGGGTGCACTTTGGGTCCTTTTGATAAAAAAGGTGTCATCTATCAGGACTCAGGGAGTGTACCTTCTCTGTCACAGACCTGCCCTCTGGAATAACATCCCTCCAGAGATCTGTATGGCTCCCAACCTGATGACAATCAGAACGTCACTGACAACCTGGCTGTTCCCTTGGGCCTTGGGGAGAATGGTAGTTGTAGGAAGTTTTACTATTATACAGAGTTTGCCATCTGGACACCTATATTCTGTTTCCTTTTTTATTCTTCTTACTCTTTTTTTTTAAAAATTTAAGCCACCCAGAGTCATCTGGAGTTGGGTGGCCTCTAAGTAGTATAAAATAAGTAAAGAAGCTTTTAATTAGATGATAAAAGAGAAAAGTCCCCCAAGAGCAACTTTGCATCTTGAATTACATGATACCTGTACCTGTTAGTAAGCACTGTTATTGTTTTACTGGAAGTGGAAGTCTTACTATGCATTCCCCATCTAGCATCTAGTCTAGCAGCTAGCCTACATTATAGCCTACTCCTTATCTGCAAAACAGAGAGATGGGCCACTGGGAAAGTTACTCCCTTATTGCTACAGCTATCTAAATTAACTCACTCTTATCTCCCAAACTGTGCAAAGCAGTGCTAGAAGGAAAGAACATAAATACAAGAGATTAAGTCAGCCTTTCCCAGAGTCCTTCCCCCAGATATGTTGGACATCAGTTCTTACAACCTCTGCACATCTTAAAATACTGGGTGAGGAAGCCAGGCCTAGTTAAAGTAGCAGAAAGATCCTTACTCTATCTCTGGAATAATGCCTCCCCCCACAAAGTGTTGCAAGGAAAAAGAAAAAAAGGAAGAAAGAAAATCTTTCACTTCCCACTTAAGAAGTTCAACTTTAATATAGTATTTTAATGGAGCTCAGGCTTGTATGGGAATTTCATTCTGGAAGCCCTTTCCTTCTAATTGCACCTTAGGTCTATGTGCGTAGAAGAATTAGTGGGTTCTACATGGTTTCCCTTCAGTTGCAAGTTGTGAGACAAAAGTGTTAAAACATTCCTCCATGCAAAACACAGCCTCCCACCCCCAAAAATCAGATTTACTGAAGGTCAAGATTCTGCTTTTTTACTACCATCCAGTTTTTTAAAACAGTACACTATTCAGAAATGTAATACCGTGCCTGCAGTCTACGTTGGAAATGTCACAGTTTGCTCTGTTTCCAAACACTACACCATTTCTTCTCGTTTCATCCAGATGCAGGTAAAAGATAAAGGTTGTTTCTCTCAACCCTGTAGTGTCTGTGTCTACACCAGTGTTTCTCAACCTCAGTGATTTTGTGGGCTCCAACTCCCAGAATTCCCCAGCCAGCATGCTTGGGAATTCTGGGAACTGAAGTCCCCACATCTTAAAGTTGCTGAGGTTGAGAAACACTGGTTTACACAATATCCTTACAAAGACACCTGGTTTTCCTGCTCCAATTTACAGGTGTAAACCACCCCCTAATCTCTTAGTCCCACCACACCAAAGATCAATTCCAGTCCAACCCATATCAGGTGTGTTTCTGATTTGTTTCCCCAACTCCCATAAAGCACCACCAAATGATTCTACTCAAACTAATAGACTTCTTTTAATTGGCTTGATTTCATGCAGATACTTACAGCAGGCAGCAAGGACTGCATATTCTGGTTAGAGTCTGCTATGGTGGCCAAGTAAACCAGATTTCTGTGCAGGATTTGTTGATATCTATAGACAAAGGAAAATAGCAAATATCTGAGAAAAAGAAACTGTTGGAAAAATTTCTCCTTTTAAACCTGCATCTGATCTCGATGCTTTCTTCGTTAACATCCCAAACTTCTTTGCAGCCATCCAATCCAAGGCACCCCTCACCTGTTTAACTCTAATAAGCAGCAGTACGGTAGCATTTATTCTGCAACTGCTAAAATGTTGCCCCAAGAACCAAGAGTGTAGGGTGCATTTTTGATGCTTGCAATACATTTATCCTTGCACCCAAACTACTGTCTGACACCCCCACTTGCATTGCATGGCATTAAAGCTAAAGACTCAGTTAATAAGGACAGACGTTGCCTTGCGCTGAATCAGACAGAGCATTGATGCATTCAGTGTAGAACTACCTACAACAGCCTTTTCCAAAAGATGTTGGATTTCAAGAGCGATTCAGGGCTTAAAAGGGGGCTGAATATTCCTGGATGATTCCAGTCCCTGGAATGAAATCAACCTGAAAGGGGCTGCAAAAGGGACAGGAAAAGCACCAGAAATTCCTGCAGTTTGAGAGATGTAGGCTTTGCTTCCAGAATGGGATGGACCCACTTGGGTCTATATTTCTTTGCACTGCACTTTGCTGTCTGCTAACCCCAAGTGGAATGTGCATCACCTCTTAGGCTAGGCTAACACTGGATTGGGCAGTTTGGGGTTCAGCTTTTGCTTTAACACAGGGTTTCTCAACCTTAGCAACTTTAAGATGGCTGGGGAATCCTGGGAGTTGAAGTCCACACATCTTAAAGTTGCTGAGGTTGAGAAATCCTGCTTTAACATGTTGGGTGACCCAAGCTCTCATGTTAAAGCCAGAATTTCATCTATAGGTGTAGCATGAATGCAATATGAGTGTCAGGCTAAGCCAGCTCTAGGGTTTCACGAATTGGTTGAACACATTCAAGACACCCCTCCATTAGAGCTATCTTTCTTTGATTGATTTGGAAGCTAAAGGCTGTGTACAATACATTGTGGTCCCTCCTATTTTTCCCCACAATGGCCCTGTCAGGTAGGTTGAACTGAGAGAAAGTGAGAGGCCTGAAGGCCCCTAAGGAGCTTCTGTGGATACTGGTGGACCTGGATCTGAGACTCTCTGCTCATAATCCTGCATCTTCACCATCATACTACCCTGGTTATACCAGCATGAAATTTTCTATCCCCACTGCTAACCCTCTTCTGCTTCTGTTCCCAGTCACTGTAGTTTCCTGACCCCTCCAAGGAAACAGGTGATAAAGTGTAATAGATTTGATACATCTTCAGACTGTCCTTCTACAGTGTTGGAATAAGAGGGAGCATATTACTTGAACATGGACACAACTAAGGCTGATTCAAGTCTGTCTTTTTCATGGTCTAGGTTCAAAATGAAGGCAAAGTCACAGGGACAAGCAGAGAAGAGATGTGCTCAGGGCATGTTTGTGCTGCAGTTATGGAAAAGTGAGAAAATGTCAGCCTTGCAAAGTAGTCCAGGCAAAAAACATACCCAGAAGTACCAGCTCTAACTTTATTGTAAGGTTACCTTAACAGAATCTTGCAAGTCTGAAAGTACATCTGTTCCCTATTATCTTTTCTCTTCAATCAAAAGTATATCTCTTCCCCATTGCCTTTACAGTCCAAAAAATGGGGGGGGGGGTCCCTTCTGAGACGTTTGCCATGTCCACGTTCCTTCTGTGGACTCAGCTGCCTCTTATCTGACCGTTGCCTAGTCTGCAGCTCTTCCTCCTGTCTCCCAGTGTTATTCCCACATGCCGTTACATAAAAGCTGTTTAACAAAAATTAAAATGCCTGAAGAAGGGGCCAGGAGATGGGATCTCATTGCTTTATCTGCTCTTAATAGGGACCTGATGCAGAATTAAAAATTGTCTCTCCTAAATCAACAACAACGGTGTCAACATGGTTGAAAAGAAGGCAGTCACCATTAGAGAGAGGCCAGCAGTGTCTGTGGGGGGGAGTAAAAGAAATCAAGATAGTTACTGTAGCATATATTATAAGGAATGGGGCTTTGATGATGTGGTTGCTGTCACCATCTTGACTTTTTTGACATCCCCCTGCCTTGCTCTAAAAGGAACAATGTGAAGATGCTGGCTTAAGATGAGAAAGCAATTGTAGATGTTGTCCACATTAGGAGTAATGAAATTATTCTTTTCATCTGCTGACAGATGGCCAAGAAATGACAAACTCAGTATATTTCAGCATCAGCCTATAAATTCATACTCACTGAGTACATTCTGCTGTTTTGCCCTTGCTCTGATAGTCCATAATGCACTGTATCAGATGATGATTTTCATCCAACATCTGGGTTTAAAAGGGACAAAAAAAGCCATTACTGATCGAAACATAGCTGAGAAAGGTGTTCCATCATCTGCCCTGCTTGGTCCTGCTAAAGCTTTTGATATGTCACACTCCTTGCACAGTCTTTATGCATTAAGTACTCTGAAATCTAAACAAGCAGTTAGCAAAAACAGTGGGACAATATTTGCATTAATGGAAGTGAAATGTCTTACCATCATTCAAATTAATTTTTATTTTTTATTTATTTGATTTATCCTGCCTTCAACTCAAGGCAGCATACTTATCTAATGCTCCCACCCCCTATTTTCCCCACAACAACAACCCTATGAGGTGGGTTGGGCTGAGAGAGGGAGACTGCCTCAAAGTCACCCAGCTGGCTTTGAAGTATTCTCATTGCTACTGGTCAATAAATAAAGTGTCATGAGGTCAGAATTGTCTCCAGGTCCTGTAGTATGAGATCTTTTCAGCAGGAGATGCCAAAATTGAACCTACGAGTTCTTTGTTTTAAAATGTATGGTCCAAATTTATAGGCAAATCAAACCTTCCAAATGGCTCCTGCATTTTTTTTATTTTGCAATTTCTTTGCAGCTTTCTTTGGAAAATTAGAGGTATCTACAGGAGGGGATCAAAAATGTCAACATGGCAATCGTGCAATCAAAACCCTGCCCCTTTTTTATTTCCATCATATCACATGTAAAAAGGGGTAGAGGTTCAGTTGCATGATTGTGGCCTCCATATTGAATTTTTTGTCCCCATTCCTGAGGACATGCCTCAACACATTGAATGGATTCACTCATAAAAGTAGCCATGTGGTAGTTGGATGGCTCTGCTTGAATATAGCATTGTAGCTTGTCCTCTTATGGTTTGATGCACTGCAGCTTATTTACAAAAATATGGCTCAAAAAAAATTGTGAATTATCAGATTGTGTGTCCTGATTTATGCACTGCACCAAACCATGGTTAACAAATCACAATGGCTGAGTTCACACACTGGATGAAATCAGAGGCAAAGCCAACCCCTAGATTCACTCCTGGCCTTAATATCCTTTGTTTGATTTTGGATGGATATGTTATAGGAAGGCAGCCAATTGTGTTAACCATGTTAAAGAAGCTAAGGTTTAGCATAATGTGTGAACCCAGTTTAAAAGCAACTTGCATATAAAACACACCCCTAAATTGTTAGAGGGATGAATATGAATAAAATACAGATTATCTGCTTGAAGCTAAGAAAGCAACCAGAATTCCTATAAAATTCAAGGACATTATCTTAGCTTAAATCAATGGCTGCATTCACAGGACACATTGGTTAATAAGCTAAAGGATCTGATTCCAACCTTTTAGCCTAGCATGTTAAGCTCCAGCTAAGATGATTAATTTATTGGTTGTTGTGTGATGGGGAGCAAGAAAAATGTGTTAGTTCCATAAATCACAGTTGAGTTAACCAAACAAGTTAGAGCAGTGTTTCTCAACCTTGGCAGCTTTCAGATGTGTGGAC